TATTGAAGATCAGAATTGCCTCTAAAATACATATATCTCTAGTCTAGATCTATGGGATATAACAAGTCCTAATAATAGGTACTAATCTTAGGAGCAAACACTCCTTGAAACCACCACTGAAGGTTAAAAGAAAAAAAAATGGTAACAAGAAGCTTACAGTTAGTCTTGCTCACAAGGCACAGGCCAAACAAGTCCTGGATGAATATCCTAAATGAGTTACATATTAGATTGCGTATACAGCAGAAAGTTGGGCTGGACAAGGCCAGAGAATGTAGGAAGATGGTGGGATAATTTGTTGCCTGGTCTTTGCATTATTACCGATATCTTTTGGACACATGTATGTAAAGCCTCCGACCAAAGATTAGGTTCTAATCTAAGTGAGGTACCAGAAAAGATGCTTGACTTGATGTTGTCCGCCATGCTTGCTTCCATTTTATTTGCTTGGCTAGAAAATGACCTCAGGAATGACCTTGAATATCACTAGTTGAAAGTTAGTGAACCCAGCACCATGACTCTGTGTTCTCTTTCCCCCTGCCAACCAGGAATATCCACAATAAATATTAAATCTGAGCATCATACAAATTTTTGTTTTATAACTGGTGAGATTTGGAGGCTTGTTATAGTTGCTACTATTACAAGATCAGCTCGGCAGACTTGTGGATCTTGAGTTGAGTGTCAATCCTGAATATGTCAGCTAATGCAATTCAGGTTACAAATAAGGAAAGTGAGGGTCTGAGAATCAAGCATCTCACCTAGAACATCCCAGAAGTGAATGTGGAAACACTCTGTATCTGCACCTCCCTCCCGAGGCCCTTTCAATAACAAACAAACAAAAAACCCACCAAAACGATTCCACTTGGCTCAAAGTCTTGAAAACTGATATTGACCAATACACTAAATAAATGAAGGCTAAACATCATTGATTATTGTGTTGTTACATACACATCCCTAAATACAGCTGTTCTTGGTTTTCTGTTAAGCTTTATTTTAAGACATGTTTGCAAAATTATCATGTGATTGATATCCATTGGTGTCTGGTGAAGACTATTAATCTATAGGTTAATCATTTCTAATTTCCCCTCTCAACATATAATTCAGCTTTCTAATGAATCTCTGGTGTATTTAACACTAGGTTTTCAAAAGTATCAAAACTAAGCTATTCCTCCTTCATTTAAGCACTTTTTAAAATAAGAATTGATACTTTTTGTCATAGAGAGAAGAGCAATTTGAAAGTCACCTTAAAAACCAGGTTTTTCACTATGAAATTCAAGTTACAGGTTAGCAAGAAAGATGGATTGCAATGATCTGTGTGTAGCACTATATTATGGCAAGATGCATCAATGTAAACACCTTTGTGTCAATATAAACTATATTAGTTTAACATAGTAATAAAGAACATATGTGTAGACTACGTATATACATACATACATCTCTGTCTACTGAGAGAGGCTAAAAAATGGTAATCAGCAAGCAAACAGCCAAACATTTGTTTATGATATATTTCTCAAAGCAACACAATCAAAATAAAAACATTTAAGACTTCTAGAAAAAGTGGCTAACTCTAGAACTAGACATGGAAAGATACAAGGTGACCCTGGAACATCTTGTAAAATGATAAAGTAATGGATGTTTTTTTTTTCAAAGAGAAAAGGAGCATCCTATAACAATAGGGTATGTCAAAAAAACACAGGAGTCAAGAAGCCAGATGAAAGTGTGATCGAGGGCTAAATTCAGAATAATTTGAGCCATCAAACAGTCTATAATTATAAAGCAAAGCATAAAGAAATATAATGAGGTTTGTAACAAAGTATATAAAAGCTAAATAGAATAATAGTGTGAAACAGACTGGTATCCTGAATAGAAGAATGTCAAGTGATTTACAGACCCAACTTCGAGGGAGTGCTAGCTCTCCGCCTCTCTGGAGTAGCTACAGGTAGCAATATCACTCTCAAAATATAGTATAGAATACGGCTAATGTCACAATGAAGAAAACTGGTAAACATATCTCCAGGCAAGCAGTTGGGTTGACATTAGAAGTGGCATTTATAGAACATATCCTTGATGTGATACAAAAACACTGCTTTATGACTGTGTTGGTCCTTCATTAAATTGTGTCTAATCATGAGAGAAATATCCCATAGTTTCCATTAGGGAAAAGTTTTAAATTGACCCATGAATTCTCCTCAAATATTTCAAGTAGATCAATCAAAAGCAAGGACTGTCTGAGACACTGCCCCAATAAAAAGACAGAAAAGGCACGCCCAATAAATATAATGTGGATTTGTATATGGGATCGTGGGGCAGGAAAAGGACGAGTTAGAACCTGACAAAATCACTATATTGAATATACTGCACCAACATAATAATAATGATAGACATTGGATGATAGTTCTAAGTTGACTTCCTATACTTTCTAAAATTTTCTACAATCTGAAGTATCTAAAATTAAGCCATTTTTATTTGTCATCATTAGTCTCATCATCATTATAAACGGAAACTTTTTATTGTCACCTTTATCTTTCAATTCTGCATGCATGCCTTTATCTTTCCAGGTGACTTCATATTGTGTATAGTTTTCATTTAACAGTGACTTATTCCATGTATTATAAGTTTACAAGGTGTGTAAATATGAGTCATTCATTTTAGCAAGCTGTTATATTTCATTTTTAATCAATTATGTATTGAACTCTTTCCCCAAAAAAACATATGATAAATCTATTAGTCAAGGAAATGAAGGAAGTAGAAAGAGAAAGCCAGGAGAGAACAATGATGACATACATGTATATTATGAGAAGTGAGCAGGGTGGGTATCTACCGTGGGGAACAGGGGAAACATGGTACACTAAGAAAGAAAATGCCCAGTATCAGTTCCATCCTCAGTAATGACTCTGGATGTAGCCTGGAAGTCCCCTAATATCTCCACAGTCTAGGGTTCTTATTTATAAAATGGAACAGGTAACTTACTCAATAGAGTCCATTTCCAAATTTACTTTTTTTATTATATACACCTTATTGTTTTTAATAGAGCTATACATTTTCCCCCAATCTCCTTCCTTCCTGCCCTCTCCTCTTCTACCTTTCCCCTGTTCCCAAGCTCTCAATTTACCGAGGAGATCTTGGTTTTTTGTTCCTTACTGCTGTTTTTCTAATGACAGTTTCTTAGAAAAATGTATGCGAAGAATATGACCAAGTATCTTTGATATAATAAAGGGAATCATTGATGTTATTCTTATAATTAGTATTTAAAATTCATTTATTTTGTGTATATATGAGTGTTTTTCCTGCATACATGTATGTATACCACATGCATGCCTCATACTTGAGGTCAGAAGAGGATAATGCTTCCCTGTAGCTGGAGTTACTGATGGTTGTGAGCCACCAGGTGAGTGCTGGGAACCGAACCCAGTTCCTCTGCAATGATGTGTGCTCTTCATGAGGAGTATTGCAAAGACAATGAGTTCAGCTGAACACAAGGAGTGTCAGTAACAGTGCAGTGATCGTCCAGGAAAATGGGAAAGGCCTTAGATATGAAGAAGTTTGTAGCTTGGACTGGCCAGTGAAACACAAAGAATACTGCAGACACTACTCCCCAGCACAGTCACCAGGACTGTGTCCAGGTTTATAAGGCCGGAGGTCTTCTGCTCTCTTATATTCACAGTCCTATAAATTCGAGTCCTTAAATGTTATCTTTTCTTCTAGACTAGGCTGTTTCATTCTTTGCCTTAGCTAAGGCATCATATCTAACAAAGAAAAAATAAATATATAAAGTATCTGTTGAGAAGATAATTAGCTTGTTTGCGTGCTGAGATGTGCGCCCCTCTAAGCATCTAATGGAAAAGGGGTCCCTGGGTGTTGCCTAAGAAAGTGAGCAAAAGGATCCCTTGAGAGTCTCTCTTCTCTATGGAAGTCATTCCATACTGGGAAAATCAGTTCACAATCAAATTGCACAACTTCTCAGGATTTCTTCATCTTGCCCCCCCCCCCAACAAGAACTTTAAGATGCTCCAGCAGGTTTAAAATTACACACGCACACACGTTTGAAATTGATGGGGTCTGCTCGTGGTAGCTCTTGGCCTTCACACTAAGGAATACCAAGGGCAGCATTGTGAGAGCTTTCTTTCTCTATGATGGAGACTTCATGTTTTCCGCGAGTTCTGCAGTAAGTTGTCCCATGCCACCTAGCTCTCTTTCCTCAGGCGAAACTGCCAGCTGTGCTCTGAAAGTTTTGCTTTTGAAATTGGGCTGACAGAAGAAAAAAAATTATCCTGAACTAAAAGTCCTGAAGCAGCTGTGATAAAGAACAAGGGAGGGGGGAAAAGGGTGGTGGGAGAAGCCAGTACTAAAAACTTCTAGTCCTGAACCCCCAAGCTTACAGAAAGTGGGTATAATACGCTGCCTTTGTCACACACACAAACGCGCGCGCGCACACACACACACACACACACACACACACACACACACACTTCTATTGGTAAATGCCTCTTCCCGAACCTCCATTGAGATGATGAGGAGATCTAGAGAGCCCCAGTACTGGTATAGATGGGGTCTCTTGCAGGCCACAGCTTAAGACTCGTGGTAAGACGACCTGGAAAGTGTTGCAAGGAAAACCCTTGCATACACAAGGAAAACCCTTTGTGGGATGTTAAAAATGCAGCATCATCCTCTTTGCTCTCTTTCTTTAGCCAAAAGACAGAATTCGAGGGCACAGGGCTCTAAGAAGAGCTTGAAATCTGCCCTCTGGAGGAGGCGTGGAGCCCTCCCTCCAGGTTCTGATGGCCCCTGCTCCCACGGGCCAGCAGCGCCTCCACCCTTTACCTTGTCCATTCATTCCAGCCAGGAAGAGAAGGAAAACAAAACTCTAAAAATAACTGTCAGCATCTTAAAAAGAGAAAAGCTTCGCTGCCACCACCACCCCCTCTTCTACTCCCGCCCTCCCTCCGCGCCACGGGGCACATGTCTGCTTCTTACAACACCGCGAGGCACATGGTCCCAGTTAGACACCGAACCCCATCGGGACAGAGAGAAAATCCACATCTGTGGGACGCTCCGCACAGAACCGCCACCTCCAGCAAGAAAGGCCAGGGGGGACTGCAGCAGCGACATGAAGAAGGGCTAGAGCAAGGGGACGCGGCTCATGCGGTGAGAGGCAGTACGCGCACGCCGGCCAGGGCGCGGGGAGGCCGGGGAACACCAGGTGGGCCCTGCCACCCCCCGCAGCGCCCGCGGTCCGGCCCCCCACGCGCGCTCCCGAGACTTGAGACTTGCCGGCCTTGCTGCAACTTGCTGCAGTGTTTGAAAGAGTAGTAAGAGCGCATGGAGGTGGGGCCGGGGGAAGACCGGGCGGAGCGGTTGCGGGGTGTGCGCGGGGAGGGGGCAGGGAGGAGGCGGTGGCAGAGGTGGGGAGGGGGGCTGATCCCTGGGGGAAATGGGATGGGGGAGAAAGGGGTAGCCCCAACGCTTACACATGTCACATGTGCTTTTTAAGACGGCCGGGAGCGCCTGCGAGCTGGATCTGGTGGAGGATGCTGCGGCAGGTGCTTCGCAGAGGGCTCCAGTCATTCTGCCACAGGCTGGGCTTGTGCGTGAGCCGGCACCCGGTCTTTTTCCTCACCGTGCCGGCAGTCCTGACCATCACCTTCGGCATCAGCGCGCTCAACCGCTTCCAGACCGAGGGCGACCTGGAGCGCCTGGTTGCTCCCAGCCACAGCCTGGCCAAGATCGAGCGCAGCCTAGCCAGCAGCCTATTTCCCCTGGACCAGTCCAAAAGCCAGCTCTATTCGGACTTACACACCCCTGGGAGGTATGGCAGGGTGATCCTCCTCTCCTCACTCGGGGACAATATTTTGCTCCAGGCTGAGGGGATCCTGCAGACCCACCGAGCCGTGCTGGAAATGAAGGTGAACCACAAGGGCTATAATTATACTTTTTCCCATCTGTGTGTATTGAGAAATCAGGATAAGAAATGCGTGCTGGATGATATTATTTCAGTGCTAGAGGATCTCAGGCAGGCTGCCGTCTCCAATAAGACAACAGCCAGGGTGCAAGTAAGGTATCCCAACACTAAATTAAAGGTATGCTCCTCCTGCATGCTTCTGCCACTTAAAGAGGCGGCACTTCATTTCTTGCCCTAAACAAGCAAAGAAAATGCAGAGGTCTCATCCTTAAGGCTCAGAAGCTATGGCTTCTTTCATTTCTGGAGGGGTGGAGGGGAAATGATGGGCAACTGAGCAAAGAAAATATGCAATGAATGGTACAACTAGATAAGAAATTCAAAGCCAAATCAAATACCAAAAAACAAAAAACAAACAAAAAAAAACAAAGAAAAAAAGAAAAGAAAAAAAGTTTCTGAGACCCTGCAGTTACATCTTTGTTCAGGGTTAATACATCAGTGGATGGAAGGGGGAGGGGGTGTCCTGAACAATTGGGGGATTTCTTTCCATAATGGGGCTCGATGTATTTCTTATTACTGATTACACATTCACCTGGTACCATATCCATCTTTTCGCATCTTCAGCTTGGCTTGATTTCTCACAGGGGTGGTCATGGAATTTTGCTGCCTGTGGTTATGTCTGTGGGCTATGAGCGTGGCAGTGATTCTAGGAATTGTGTGTGAGAGAGAGAGCTTGCAGAGCAAAAGAAGTAGGGATTTTTCTACGAATCAGAACAGGGATGTGTGCTTAACTGATGCAATAGATTGCTTAGTATGCCCTTCCTATCCCATGAAGTATCCTAGACCCAAAGAAGATTGATTATAGCTGCCAAATAACAAAAGTAAAGAAAAAAGTTCTCAATCGGCAGAAAGTACAAGGCATTTCAGCATTAAATTATTATGCCGTTTGGACTCTCAAATAAAATTTTGATACTCCCTGAGATTCCTAAACTCATCCTACTCTGTCAGGACTGATATGCTGCAACCAATGAGGCGTGCAGTCTGCAGGTGACTGAAGTCTCTGGGACAAATGTGACTTCCAAAAGACTCGCTGCACCATTTGTGTGCTTGACCCTGTTTGCGCTCAGAGGCTATGCCTCCAAGAACTCCCAAGACAGGTGTTTCCCAGGAAGAAAATGATGTATGCGCGGCTGTGTATGTGCTCTTCTGTGGAGACAGTGGAACTGGAAAGACCACTACAAAACATCGCAATGCCCATTTATTTATTTCACAGAGTCACCAGAATCTAAAACGCAAATAACTTCCTCAGGACTTTTAAGAGAAATTGCTGGTTTCCTGAGTCAAGCAACAATGTTGTGCAGTTGGAAACTAATGAAAACCTTGCCTTTGCCTCCTTTGGGCATGGCACGCCGCTCCCAGGGATCCAGAGGCTGAGCCCATCTCGGCTTTACCAAACTGAGCAGCCCCTACTGAGCTCTAAGGAAAGCGGAAGATGAGTCATTAGGTTACATTAGGTGAAGGGCTTGCCTGCTTTGTGCTAATGATGGAGCATGGTGGAGACCTGTGTTTGGGCAGCATGCTTTTTCATTTCCCCACACCTTTGTCATCACCATCACTGTTTGCTCAGGAAAGGATGTGGTGGAGAGGTAGTCTTTCTCATCTACGGTCCTAACACATTTTTTTTGGGGTCAATCGTGTAAAGAAATATCTGACCTGTATCATAGTTACCCTTCAGGATGGTTTTCCCTATCTAGACAAGCTTGCAGATGATTCATATGTGCAGTTAATTAGTTGGGTCTCAATCACCTTTATTTCGCAGTACTCTCCAAGTACAAGAGCTTCATCCAATCAGCAGCTGTGGACATTTTGTTGGGGTGGCGATGTCCTCGTGACATTTGCAATACCAGTCTCTGGGGTATTCGTTTTATTCACCTAATGGTTATTAGTTGTGCTGTATGGTCTCTTAGGCACATGAGCTCCAATGATAGCAAGATAACTGTTCTTACTTCCAATGAGTTTCACGATAGTAGACGTCAGCATTTTCATTCTCCAAGACGAGCAACTTGCTAGCACAGACTCTGCAATTGTGTGCACCCTTGAGCTAAAACATGCTGGCCTATGATACATATTCTACTTATATGTTATGAGTGACTGGCTGACTGACTGGGTGGCTGATGGACATATAGGCAGGACTCTATGAGAAATCATAAAGAAAAGATGTGACTCATTACAAGCTTATTACAAGAGTAACAGAATTGGTCTGATAACCATAGAAGGGACAGAACTGTCACGTGTGGACTGGTGTTCTTATTTAGCTGTGGTTCATCACTCATCTTTCCTCAGATGTGCTGGTTTTAGTCTGTGTTCATGGATTCCATGGGTGAAGGGGTTGTTCTTAAGATGTCTTGGAATAAATGAGCCTTTGAGTTATTCTGAGAACAGCAAACCCTCTCAAGGCTAGGCATAATCTCACAGTCCTCAGGCAGTATAACACAGTTCCATAAGTACCATAGAAACCTAGAATTCTGCCACAGAGACTTCTAGGGACCTCAGGAGCAGAACTCTCTAGTAGAGAGCAAAGTGAGATGACCTTCTGTTTTGATTTTATGTTGTTTTTGGACGGTTTTAATTCATGTGTGGCAATGCATCTCAAGGTGTATCTCCATGATGCTGGTACTCAAAAATTTGATCACTGTTGCCTTTAAAGACAAGAGGGGAAATTTCACATGGACACTTTAGCTCTTTATTTCATTTTTGTTCTGCTCTACTTTACCACTAATCCTACCTCTGTCCAATATTAAATACTGTCTTGGTAAAATCCAACAATAGGAAAGAATCTCAAGCTTAGAGAAATGGCAAGATAAATAGTAGCAGGTGAACAGTGTGAAAAGGAGCTGTCATTCACTTGGCTTCAAAGGGGCAGTAGAGGAGGGCTGGAGATGAATTAAAGATAGGTAAGCACTGACTGACAGAGAGAAGTTGTCAAAAACCTGAGTTGTGGTGATCAAAGTATTAAAACAGCTGACTTGCCCTGAACTCAGGAAGGTTTAGATCTGCTGAACATAACAATCCTGAGAATGTGATTCAGACAAACGGGGTCACATAAATTGGCCAACATGGAAGAATCCACCTGAGAGATTAAATATACCCAATGTGAAAAAAGTAACACTTGGCCTAGAATATTCGAGAGGTAATCAAATTGATACAGGCTTTGTAAATACAGAAAAAGCTGTAAAATCAGAAACACACTAGAAAATATGAATTCTATAATCTTTACTTTGTACTGATCTCTATGGTGTAGCCACAAATGAGCACAAGGGCCATGCCATCTCTAACGACAAAATATTCACAGTGAATGCTTACTGACTAGTTTAGTAATCCATTCATTCAATGTCACAAAATTATCATCAACCTTTGTGACATGCTTCCATTTTAAAGATGTTATTTATATTTTACAGATGTCTCTAAAGTGTTTTAACCTTATAATTGAAAGACTCTTACCTTTAATATACACATTTAAATGTGTATATGCGACAAATATGCACATTAGGTAAAGTAGTACAATGTGGCTCTGTGCATATACAACAATTAAATATACACATCACTAGGTAAAATAGTATGATGTGGCCAGACTGAATTTTTAAGCAAACTTCTTGCATATAGTAAAACAATTCTGTTTTTTAAAGATCTGTATTTATGAGTGGTTAGAGATAGTGTTTCCCTCCTTCTTAGACAAGTCATCGTAATCCCAGCTCTCTACCTGTGGAAGTGGCAATTCCCATATGCTCCCAATTCCTTACAGTAAAAGTAGATGTAGTCAAATAGGTCTGAGATTTGAGCAACTTCCCTACTACTAGAAAGGAGTAACTCAGATTGGATTTCCCTGCAACCTATCCTTCCCATTAAATTACACTCACTTCCATACATCTGGACACATTTTAAAATTAACATATATCTCAGTATACCACATGATAGATATAGACAGAAGCAAAGATACACATTCTTGATCATCAATAGAAGGCAGTGCTTCTTAGGTACATTCTTAAGTACATTATCTATTTTTGGAAAATATTGCAGTTCATTTATATAGTTCCAATCTCAATTGAAGGGGTACTTGAGCCAACCTGAAAAGCTATGGTAAGCATTTTTCACTTTCACTCTTAATTAATTCTAAAATCATATATACACATACATATACATTTTCAGATATTGTGATTTAAGCTTATCTTTCTGATTCTGCCTTTCAATAAGCGAGAAAAATTGCAACCATATTGAATATTCTCTTTGTATCCTAAAGGTTTCCAAATGTTATCTCCACCGTGTGTCATTTAGTATATATAAATTTATAAATTGCATTCCCATTTTATAGGGAAAAGCCAAGGAGCTTCAATGATTTCTTTGTGATCCTCAAGCTAGTGCATATATTCAGGCCCCGACGTAAACCCAGATCTGTCTAGCTCCAAAGCCTCATTACGACACGCTATTGGTCTTATTTTCTGTACTGCTCTCGGTAACAATTAATAGTAGCCTTTCTCATAAAGAAAGAAAGGAAGGGAGAGAGAGAGAGAGAGAGAGAGAGAGAGAGAATAAAGAAAGGGAGGGAGTATGGTAGGAAGGAAGGAAGCAAGCAAGCAGTGGAGTCATCCTTCCCCAGCCATTTTTGCATCACTCCCCTTGCTTTCTGGGAGCAACTGGCTCATAAGAAGGCAGGATGACTCTCCAGTCCGGGAAAGCTCCTGATATCTACCTAACATGGCAGTTGCTACAAATTTAGCAAATTACTCCTTGGCCCATGACTTCACCTTTGATATCATTTCCCCTCTGCTAAGAACAAACTGGAGTTTGGCTTTAGGACCAGCTAAAGGTGAGAAATCTGAAAGTGACCCAAGGTGTTGAGCCAGGGGCTTCTGTGTCAAGGAAACTTGGGCTTTTCTGGCTGACTCTGGCACCAAGGGGAAGAACAAAGAATTGCTGAGATGGCAAGAGCGAATTCGATGCCCTTTAAATTGAGACCTATTCATGAGACCCTGGTTCCAGTGTTAATTCTTTGAAGACAGGTTAGTGACTGACTGATTTCACCATCAATTTAGGTGTCAGCTTTTTTATGTGGGAAATTGACGGAGCTAAGCCAAGAGATCATAGGAATTCTTGTCACCCAGCAAAGTTCTCTTATTAGTGTTA